AGACTTGAGTGTGAGCCCTGACCCACCAGTAGCCCACATGGACACACTCCACCCCACTGGGATCCAGACACCCACCCACAGGCATTCTCCAGGCCGGGCAGCCCAGTGGATGGGGAGGGTCGGCAGGAAGAAGAGAAACTCGCTCCTTGAGCCACCTGCTTCTTTCCCACCCGCCATGGCCCAGGCCTCATGAGTAAGAAGAAACGTGTATTTCTGTGTTCTGCCCCACATTTCACAGGGAAACAATGATGGTCAGTTTCCCAGTCTCATCCATCAAGTGGTATTTAACTCAGAATATAGAGTTTAAATCTCAAATGGGTTAAACCATGCCAGTGACCTACTGAAGTGGCAATGCCATATGGTTCAGCCTGACCTTGACAGTCCATGGCCCACATGTTCCGAAAATGCAAGTCTTTGTGATATGGTGGTGTGCGGGCTCTGAGAAGAACACATACCGTGGCTGAGTGTTCTCAGATGGTGTCACCCCATCCTTCGGGGCCCTCAGGTAAGTGGCGCACTGCTGCGGAGGGTTTGTGTGAATGCCTGCCTCCTCAGGGCCCGGAAGGCATCAGCTGAAATCGGGGCTTTGTCCCAAAGCATTAACTGGCTGTGTCTGGAATGTCCATTTATATTTGAAACTAAATAGAAATTAATTTTTAGGAACCAAAAAAATTCTTTGAGTTAAAAAGCAATCTATGATAATATGAAGAATGGTTTAATGACTGAATCACAGTTCTCAGGTGTGAAAATGGTTTTACCGGTACAAAGCTATGCCCAGCCCTTTGGCTCTCTTTCAAGACTTCCTTCTCACTAGGTGTGCTCACCGCCTCAGAGATGACCGGCCATTTGATGGGAGCACAGCAGAGTTTCGGGGTCAGAGCCTGACTGGAGCACTCCCCGGCACCATTTCAGTGTCCTGGACTCTTTTTTTGTTGTTGCAGTTTTACTTGTTCTAGATTCCAGTGGAATTACTTCTCATCTGAATTGACTACTATATATTAGACCCAATGGAGAGCCCTTCTTGTCACTCCATAAATTTTGTGGTAGTTCTGGGTTTTCATTTCAAAATCTCCAGTGATTCTGCGTTGCCATCCTGCTGTGCGTGGCCTGCCGGGACTCTCCCGGGGTGGTCACAGCGAAACGGGGACGCAGGGGTCCTGTCTGGGACCCGCACAGCAGGACCTCCCACTCTCACCCACACCCTGCTTACTCTTTTCTCTTGAAGCCCTAACACCCATGCCGCGATGCAGAAGCTGTGAGGAGGAGTTCTGGCGTGAAGAGAATGGAAATAATCTGGAAATGCAGTTCTATTCTTCACTCCCATAACTAAGTGTAAAATGGGAGCAGAGAGTTTTAGTGTGAGCAGCGGTCGCTGCATCCTCCTTTCAAATACAAGAGTCTATGCCTCCTTTCAAATACAAGAGTCATGCGACTTCCATTTCTCTGTGCCAAAGGATGGTTGAAATGTTAAGCCAAAGGGCAACTCAGGGAAGGATAGAAATCAGGAGGGAGAGGCCTGTGGCTGTTCCACAGGGAGGCCGTCCCTCCCTTCGGACACGGCCGAGGAGAGGTCTGTGTGCCCAGGAATGCCATGCCACTTTGGGGGACCTCCTGCTTCTCCTGGTAGCTGTCCCTGGAGCTGGCACCTGGCTTGTTGATGTAAAACCTTTACTGTTCTTCTTTTTTTTTAAATACTTTTCAACCTACTTGCTTTTCTTTTCTTTCTCTGTCTGTTCTGTCCAGAACCAAACTGTCTTACTAACTGCCCCCTGGGGACTCTAGCCCTGCCTGCCTCACGCCGTAAGTGCTTTCGTCCTTCTTCCCAAACTGTCTGGAGGGGGCATTGGTGTAACTCGGGGTTGGCGCCAGACACTAAGAAACAGGTGGAATCATCCCAGGTGGATCTGCTTCGTAGAGGCAGCCGCCCCACTGGCTCTGGGTCCGTCTGCAGGGACAGACTGATGGCCTGTACAATCCCTTTTGCCGAGGGTTGACTGCTTGGTGCAAAGAAAGGCTCCCCGGTTATAGAGACCCCGCCTAGGTTTCTGCTCCCTGTGCAGTTTGCAGCCAGTATGCTTTCGGAGAGGGGACTGTCTCTGACAGAGTTCTAGCCTGTGGGGATCTGCTGGACCTGCTACCGGTATTTGGTGGCACATATATCAGGTGCAACCATAATGCAATGAGGCTTCTTTTGCAACAACCGCACCAGAAGGAATAAAAGCAAATACATCTTGTCCTTCCAGGTGATCACCGTAGGTGACCTAGTAAGTGCTCAATAAGTATTTGTTGATTGAATAAACAGCAAAGTCACCCCTGCTCTAAAAAGTATTCTCAGAATTGACTCCAGAGCCCAAGTCGAGGCACATGAGAAAACAGGAGCCTTGTGTGTCATCAAGGACATAATTAGCTCATTCACTGATCTCACGCCGAAGCGCTCAGGGCCAAAGTACAGTTGTTTCTCCAAGACTAAAGTGCTCCAAGCGCCAGAGGCCCACAGAGCCCATGGCAAGGCCTGTCGGGAAAGGACAGCGTGGTGTGCTTATGTGTGCTGGTATGGCCACCCGCCATTGCTTCCTGTGGGAGCCCCCAAACAGGTGCTGGTGAAGAGGTGGCACAATACGATTGGAAAGTGCATCCTCGTCCCTCATCGGCCAGGTGGGAACTGGCTGCAGTGTGTCCAATAACCCTCTAGCAGCAGCCCCACCAGCACACATACTTGCACACAACACACTCATACTAGCACAAGCACACACAACCCTTACAACACCAGGAGCAGTGACACCAGAAGACACAAGACAGTTGCAGATTTCCCGAACCATGCGCCCCCTCATGCCCTGGGCTGAGGTGAGGTAAGGACACAGCTCACTCCCACGTAAGTTCGCATTCCAGCTATCTCAGGGCCCACAGTGTTTTCACAGGCAGGCACCTCAGGTTGTCATGGTTCTCATTAGCATACGTGCTTTGCTGACTGGGGCCTCCCCATTGTCATAGAAAGTGCCAACCACAGAAGAGGCAGGGACCGGCAAGAAGCAGTCTCCATGTTAGTGCTCCTTCTCTGTGGGCCCCACGGGGAGGCAGCCTCCTCACTCCATCACTCCCCTGTCCGCCTTCCATCTTCTTCCTTGTCACCTGGTTTTCGTCACATCGTCCTTCAACACAGCCGCTGACTCTTCCCTGTGTCGCTCGCCTGCGCTGCTGACTACCTCTTCCTCATTCTGACCTCTGCAGTTGCTTGTCACCTCTCTTTAAATCCTCTGACTTACCTCCTGGCTGGCTCGGAGGGTCTTTGCTCTGTGTCATCGGCATTGCAGTGGTTTACCATCTCAGCTTTCTGTTGTCTGAGGGTCATTTGGGCAGATGGGTCCCACCCTGTAGAACTCCCCATTTCCTCCTGCCACAGCTTTGCACATGTCTCTGTGCCAGCAAATTCCCAGTGTGGTGTCCTTGTTTCCTGTCGTGGAGACCAAGCCCTGAGAAGAAGTATTCCAGGTGATGTGCACCATGGTGGAGGGTGTCTGGCATTAACTGTTCTCAGAAGGTGTGGGATGCCCGCAACACAACAGCACGAGCACACTCTGACTCCCCTTTCTTCCAATGCTGCTGCGAGGAGGAGTCATTAAAGAAAACTAGACCTAAATTAAAATTTCTGCCAGCAGCATTTTTTCATGTTGTGGGAGTGTGTTTCACCGACTGCCAGTCAATTTGGGATAAACAGTAGCAGAGCTTGTTTTGAGGTGAGTCTCATTCCTAATACAGCTGATGAAATCAAGAGAGGCTGTCCTCTTAGGACCGTCATTGTCACTAAGTAGATCACTCAGGAGGACCAGAGTGATGGGATCAGCTGGATCAGACCGACCACGTGGCCGGGGTAGAGCACATGTGGCCTGTGGCTTTCCCACCCTCCATAGGTGCCAGCCCAGTTCTGATGGTGCTCTGTAAACACACCCATCTCAACAGAGTGATGGGATCAGCTGGATCAGATCGACCACGTGGCCGGGGTAGACCACATGTGGCCTGTGGCTTTCCCGCCCTCCATAGGTGCCAGACCAGTTCTGATGGTGCTCTGTAAACACACCCATCTCAAGGCTTTGCCATGTTTTATCCTCACTCGATGTCTTCCCATTACTGTCATCACTGATCATTCCTGTTGAGGTCTTTCCTTACCATTTTAAGTCATTCTCCATGAGCAAAATATAAGTTAGCATGCAGACGTTGCCCTCGCTCTGTTGCATTGAGTCTGTCGAGAAGTGTATTTGGGGGAAATCCCTCCCACCCCCGGAGGCACTGTCTGTCTGAGTAACCCTGTCTTTCTCTTTCTGGCTTTGAAGGAACTACCTTGTTCTGCACTAGCTCCATCCCTAGAATCCTGCTTCTCCAGGCCCGAGAGACCAGCAAACCGCCGCCCTCCATCCCGCTGGGCCCCACATTCCCCCACTGCCTCTACGGCTCCATCGCTCGGAGACCCGACCTCCTTGGAGGAGTTCGGGGAGGAGGAGCCGCCCGGGGAGAAGCTGCACCAGTGACGGATGCAAGTTTGCATGGATTATCACAGAATAATTCACTGTAATTTGCATAACCACACCATCATCATCCACCAAACTCTGCCCAAAAGGAGAGATCTCGTTTTCCCAAGGTCAAAGAACGTGTTTAAAAAAACACACAGCTGCTGAATGTTCAACCTCTGACCTGAGATGTTTCTAGAACGAAACAGTAAATGTGCCTGTAATAACTTAATTTTTTTCATAGCTCAGAAAACTATTTTTGTCTCCATCTTTTTTACACACAGTATATTAAAAAAGGGTACATAAGATATAAATAAATTTTAAAAACTAAACGTTTTAAAGATGTACATTTTACGAGATCCTGAACACCCTCGCTCTAAGACTGACTGCCTCTCTGTTAAATTTGCACTGTTACATTTTTGGTTTGCTTTATTTCCACGTTGAATTAGAGTGTTTTAAGTTAATTTTCTTTTCTCGGTGTTTTTGATTTTTAAGAATTTTTGAAAACTTCAGACCGTCTGATAAAATGAACTTTTTGTAGTGAAAAAGTCAGGAAGCCAATAGTCAAGACAGATGCCCTATATGCTGGAGGGAACCCATGTCAGCGTTTAGGAAAAGGGCACCGAGTCCTCAGCGGGGCTCACCAAATTCTTTGTATAATCCACATATTCTATCGACTTGCACGTCTTCGGGTCCGAGGCGCCGGGGTGCATGTACATACTGCTGCTGTGGGCTCGCCATCGCCCGAGTGAGTCGTCCCGTTGTGCACATTGTGAGTTCCCTCGTACTGTACTTTTGTCGTCTTCTTGCATCGATGATACAACATCTGTGGCTTTTTTAAATTATTGTTAAAAGATGAACTGACAATACGCAGTGTTTACTCAAAATTTTCTGTTTACGGGAAAAATATTACACATGAGGATACTGGATTGGAACAAAGGACGGTGGCTCGGAGTCTGTACAAGACAATGATGAAGTAGAAATAAAGCCTTGACATGATGGCAGCCTGTTGCAGACCTGGTGTCTCACACACCCTCCATCTCTCCTCAGGGCTCAAGAGGAGAGATGTCATAAACAGGGGATCGGGGACAGGGGAGCTCATGGGAAAAGGCAACCGCTGCTAAAGAGGCGTCTATTGGAATACGCTGAGTGCGTGGTGGTGTAGTTTCACCGGATTGTAAGAGCCTCCTGAAGTAGATAAAAAGGCAACTTCATTCTTGTTGAAAAAGCCAAAAGGGGTGGATGTGGGGTTGGGGGGTGGTGAGGACACTGGCTACCCACAAGTCAGAATGTGCCAGCCTCTGTCCCTCTCCCCTCATTGGGAAAGCAGGCGTGGCCAGTGACTCCTGAACAGACGTTTCCAACCTGGTGCTGAGATGGATTTGAGAGAGTAGAAGTCTATAAAAGCGACATGCTGCCCAGAACACACGAAGGACTATTTTAGGCTAGATCTTCTGGCTTTAATGTTTCATGAACGCAACAATTCTCTTCTTATCCACACAGGCTCCTAGAATAAGTTCTATTCTTAGCATTAGCACAGTTCCATCATTAAATATTTTCAAAAAAATGGAAAGCACTACTGATACAGATGTAGACTCTGTGGAACCTTGGTGCACTGACTGTTGGTGGGGATGTAGAATGGTGCAGCTGCTCTGGGGATGTAGACTCCTTGGAACCTTGGTGCACTGTTGGTGGGGATGTAGAATGGTGCAGCTGCTCTGGAAAACAGTGGGATGGTTTCTTAAAAAGTTAAACAGTATTTTCATATGATCCAGCAATTCCATTTCTGGGCTATAGGCCCAGAGGAATTAAAAGCTAGGACTTGAACACATATTTGTACACCCATGTTCATAGAAGCATTGTTTACAACAGAGTGGAATCAACCCCCGTGTCCATTGATGGATGAATGGATAAATAAAATGTGGTCTACACATACAGTGGAATATTATTCAGCCTTAGAAAGAAAGGAGAGTCTAACTCATACTACAACATGGGTGAACCTTGAGAACATTATGCTATGTAAAATAGGCCATTCACAAAAATAACAAATATTGTAAGATTCCACTTATACAGGGTGAGGCAAAAATAGGTTTACAGTTAGTCAATAATACAGTAATTCATAAATAATATAATAAATGTTTTGCTTACTCAACTATAAGCCTACTTTTGGCCCGTGGTGTGGAACCTAGAATAGTCAAATTCATAGATTTTAAAAAAGCGAAATTATGGTGACCATGAGGTGGGAAGAGGGAAGAATGGAAGTTGGTGTTTAATGGGTATAGATTTCTGTTTAGGATGATGAAAAGTTCTGGAAATGGATAGTGGTGATAGTTACACGACCATATGATTAAATGGTAAACGTATTTTACCACAATGACAATGTTTTAATCTAAAAAATAAATATTTCACTTAACCACTCTAGATGGAACTGCAAACAACCTATCAGCATGTTGACAATTTTTTTGTGTGCCTACCTTGTGCCAGAATAAATGCTGGGAGGTACAATAACATCCTTTCAGCTGGAAGCAACCGCTAGCAGCCAGGAGGGTTGTCAATACTCATAACTGAAAAGGCTTTGGGGTCAAGGGCAGTTACAATCCAGAGCCTTGAAGAAAGCCATCAGGCTCTGCTCTCCTGTGTGGCTTTATTCTCAGACAAGCATCCCAGGAGTGTGCAGTGAGCATCCCCAGTGGCTCCTGTCAGTTTAGCAACTCCTAGAGAAAGAGGATCTCTTACCAGTAGCTCCTGCCGAAGCCCCAAGACTGATGAGTCTCCTGAATCTGCTTTAATTCACATCTGCCTGAGCCTATTACAGACAGATTAGCCCAGCAAAGTAAAACCAAGGAGCCGGGAGAATAGAGGGGGAAAGTGCATGGAAGACAGCAAAGCTGCTCACACTGTGGGGAACCCTCGAATTACAAGGAGAGGTTCTGGTCATCAGAGAGAACTTGCTATCTAACTGGGGGAGATGGACTTCCCAGGCACAAAACAAAATGGGGAGAAAACGGGGGGGGAGGGGATATGTAAATCCTAAATTAAAGGGCTTGAGTTGGAACTCAAAGGAAGAGCAGGATTTTTTTTTTAATTAAATCTTTATTGTTCAGGTTACATTTGTTCCTCTTTTTTCCCCCCCATAACTCCCCTCCTCCCAGTTCCCGCCCCACCCTCCGCCCTCACTCCCCACCCACTGTCCTCATCCATAGGTGCACGATTTTTGTCCAGTCTCTTCCCGCATCTCCCATTCCCCTTTCCCCCCCAAGAATAGTCAGTCCATTCCCTTTCTATGTCCCTGATTCATTATAATCACCAGTTCATTCTGTAAATCAGATTATTTATTCACTTGATTCTTAGATTCACTTGTTGATAGATGCATGTTTGTTGTTCACAATTTGTATCTTTACCTTTTTCTTCTTCCTCCTCTTAAAGGATACCTTTCAGCATTTCATATAATACTGGTTTAGTGGTGATGAACTCCTTTAGCTTTTCCTTATCTGTGAAGCTCTTTATCTGACCTTCAATTCTGAATGATAGCTTTGCTGGATAAAGTAATCTTGGTTGTAGGTTCTTGGTATTCAGCACTTTGAATATTTCTTGCCATTCCCTTCTGGCCTGCAAAGTTTCTGTTGAGAAATCAGCTGACAGTCGTATGGGTATTCCCTTGTAGGTAATTGAGTCTCTTTCTCTTGCTGCTTTTAAGATTCTCTCTTTGTCTTTTGCTCTTGGCATTTTAATTATGATGTGTCTTGGTGTGGTCCTCTTTGGATTCCTTTTGTTTGGGGTTCTCTGCGCTTCTTGGACCTGTAAGTCCATTTCTTTCACCAGGTGGGGGAAGTTTTCTGCCATTATTTCTTCAAATAGGTTTTCAATATCTTGCTGTCTCTCATCTTCTGGCACCCCAATTATTCTGATGTTTGTACGCTTGAAGCTGTCCCAGAGGCTCCTTACACTATCTTCATATTTTCGGATTCTTTTTTCATTTTGCTTTTCCGGTTGGGTGTTTTTTGCTTCTTCGCATTTCAAATCTTTGACTTGATTCTTGCGCTCCTCTGGTCTGCTATTGGGTGTCTGTATAATATTCTTTATTTCAGTCCGTGTATGCTTAATTTCTAGTTGGTTCTTTATCATAGCATCGAGGGTCTCATTAGTTTTCGTGACTCTCTCCTCAAGTTTATTGACAGCTTCTAGCACATTTTTGCAAGCCCTCAAAATTGCGATTTTTAGCTCTATATCCTCCATTTCTGTCATGTTTTTTTGTCTCCGCATTTTTTATGCTTTCTTGGTGCACCCCCTAGTGGTCTTTGTGCGCAGTCTTGTTCTAGTTGAGCCTTGATTGTTGTAGTTAATACTAGAGGGATTTGACCACCAGGCCGACTGGCTGTGTGAATCAGCTGTGTCTGCCGCGGAAAACTTCTGTCCTCTGGGGAGGTGCTAATCTAGCCTTTGCCTGAGGCGATCCGGCAAATGGCTCTGCGCAGGGCTTGGGCGGGGCGGGCTCAACAGGGCGGGCGGAGGGAGCGGTTATGGTGCCCTCAGTCCCGTTCCCAGAGGCTCTGCTTCTCAGAACCCCAGGAACCGCTGCAAACCTCGGAGAGAAAGCTGCCTTCCAACTGATGCCAGACACTCCCGCTTCTCCCGTTTGAGTCCGAGTCCCCAGCGATTCGCCCGTATCTGGAGCTCAGAGTCTGAGACTCCCCCCTGACCGAAAACGACAACCGCGCTCTCAGCCACCAGCCCGCTTTGCGCGCGCACCTCCGCACCTGAGTATTTTCCACACTGCGCCTCCTCTGAGCCTCGGTGTGCTGTTATTTTTCCTTCTAGTTGAAGAGTCTCTCCTCAGCCAGCCTTCCTGTGGTTCTGGGTGATGTCCGTTCCGTCTTTTAGTTGTATTTTTGAAGTGGTTGTTTGCGGCAGCAGTCTGCGGTGTTTACCTATGCCGCCATCTTGGTCTCTCGGAAGAGCAGGATTTTTAAAAAATATATTGTTATTTATTAGAAGAGGGAGAGAGAGAGAAACATCAGTGATGAGAGAATCACTGATCGGCTGCCTCCTGCATGCCCAGGTATATGCCCTTGACGGGAATCAAACCTGGGACCCTTCAGTATGCAGGCCGACTGAGCCAAACCAGCTAGGGTAGAATTTAAATATGAAGGCAGGAGAGGCGGTTCGGTGGGAGAAGAGTAGGAGCAGCTATGTGAGGAGGTGGTAAAAAGAGCATCTGACCAAGGCAGGGAGGCAGTACCTGGGCTGGGAGCAGGTCCAGAGCAAAGCCACTTCGTGCGACATCAGTGCCTTAAAAGACTGTTTGGAACTTCTCCAACCACCCACTTTTCTACTAGTTGGGCTTTGTATTCTTGAGTCCATTTATTGTGGAACCACCCCAACTTTTGCAAAGGCAAGATGGTGGAATGAAACACTTTCTACACTCCTGTCCAAATGAATGCTGAGGCAGCTACGCGGGCGATGCGGGCTCGGAAGGAGAGCAGCTGCGCAGGAGCCAGCCTGCAAGAAGTGTTTGTGTATGTCTCCAGGAGCCAGTGTTAATGTGTCATTTGCTTTTATGTCCTAAAGAAAGAGGCAGGAGCAGATTCCTCAGACACAGCTAACGGCTCTTGCACGCGGGGCACGCCCTGCCCCCTGGGGCATGGCCAGCACCAGTGGTCCACAGACATTTCTCATCAAACTGCGGTCAGGCTGGACTGTAGTAGACACATTCCACTCTTTCCTTTTTTCTTCTTATGAGAAGGTAAAGGTTTTCAATATTATGTGTCTTTTTAAAAACAGGCATATCATAATTCTAATTTTTATGTAGTACATTTGTGTTACACCCTTTTTTTATTAAGCTTGTCAGAGTTATGGGTATTTGTTTTGTTCAAAAAGTAACTGAGAAGTACAACTATCATTTATTATTTTCTAATTCATTGGGGGGGTTTTTAATGGTGGTAAAATACACATAGCGTAAAATTTACCATTCTAACCATTTAAAGCATATAATTCAGTGTCATTTAGTACATTCACAATGTTGTACAATCATCACCACTGCTTGGTCCCAGGACATTTTCATCACCCTAAAAGGAAATATGCACCCACTCCCTGGCAGTCACTTCACCCAGCCCCTGGCACCCATGAATCTGTTTTCTGTCTCTATGGATCTGCCTTTTCAGGATATTTCATATAAATGGAATCCCTCAATATGTGGCCTTTAGGGCTTCTTTCACTGGGCATAATGTTTTTAAGGTTCACCCATATTGTAGCATGTATCAGTACCTTATTCCTTTTATAGTTGAACTAGAGGCCCGGTGCACAAAATCTGTGCGGGGGGGGGGGGGGGGGGCAGGCATGGGGTCCTTAGCCCAGTGGCAGCCTTGGGGGATGTCCAATAGGGCCTAAACTGGCAATCGGACATCCCTCTTGCAATCTGGGACGCTGCATGCACCAGTGACCATACTGTTCATACAGGTGAAAGGTATCTTGCTGTTGTATGTGCAGCTACATTTTTTTGCCCTGAGTATAAAAAGTAGTACATAGCATGATCCTTCCGAGGTAGTAGTACCATTTTCCCCATCTTATGGGTGGAAAAACTGAAGCAGAGAGAAGTTAAGTAATTGGCTTTGTCACACAGTTGTAAGTGTCAGAATCAGGGCTGACCACAAAATGTGCAAGCCAGAGTCCATGCATGTCATCACTGCATCATCCTGTTTTTTCATTTTTAGAGTAGCCTTGCCAGGTCTTAATTTTTAAATCTAAGAGACTGTTCCCAATATATAGGGTAGGGTCCCTAGGCCTGGCCGATGATCAGGGCCAATCTGTGGGGTGACCTGCAGGCAGGGCGATCCAGGGGCCCCTGCTGGCACCAACCTTGGCTGGTGGCCTGGCGCTGCCTACTGGCCAGCCCTGCCCCCCAATCGCCACCGCTGGTCACCTCCCTCTCCTGCATCGAGTGTCTGCCCCCTGGTGGTCAGTGCATGTCATAGCAACTGGTCATTCCGCTGGTTGTTCCACT